GGTTTCCCGAATCCCCATGATGGTGAAGGGTGGACTCCCAACCATCTGTAACTCTAGCTTCATGGCATTCTGCCCCTTTAGCTTCTGAAGACATATGCCATTTTCACAAAATAGACAAATAAAAATATACTATAGAAGTATGAAATTGCGGCTAGCTAGGTATCATGGACTGACGGTGGTTAAGAAACCTGGCTTCTGGGGCTGGAGAGGTGCCTCAGAGGTTAAGGGCATTGGCTACTCTACCAAAGAACCCAGGTTCAATTCCCAGCACTCACATGGCTGCTCACAACTGTAGCTCCAGTTCCAAGGGACCCGACACCCTCACACAGATATACAAGCAAGAAACCTGGCTTCTGACCTTGGAATTGGGTTTCAGGTGTATGCTCAACCTTGTGAAGGCCTCGGGCCTGGCTCTAAAGAGGTTGAAGGATTGACAAGGACGGAATGAACCAAGGGAGGCAAGAATAGTCACATTCTGTAGCAACTCTAACAACAGAGAGCTGGTCCAGAGTGTATGTGTGGTTGTATGTGTGTATGTAAGTGTGTGTGTGCATGCACATGCGTGTGTGTCCTGTCATGGAAGAGAGAGTGCTGAAATAGCTTAAAATCAGACATTAATAGTTTCCTGAATGGCCCTGAGTATAACTTACTGTTAGAAGGTAATGATTAGTAAAAACAATGACTCAGCAGTTAAGACTGCTTGCTATTCAATCTTGAGATCCTAGTACCCACGTAACAAGCTGCATGTCTGCAAACCTAGCTCTAAGGCAGAACAAGTCGGGAACTGCTGGGACTGCAGCCTGGCCAAGAAAACATGAACTTCAGGTTTGGGTAGAAACCTTCCTTCAAAGGGGTAGGTGGACACGGATAGAAATAGGACACTTGATGTACTGTTCTGGCCTCAGTGTGTGTGCCGAGGTTCATTCACCTGCATGCGTGCACGCGCGCGTGCGCGCGCACACACACATCAAATAAATAAACCAACAATAAGTTACTTTAGTACTCCAGAGCTAGAAGAAAACCCAAGATTCCAGAGAGTACAGTGTTCTCATGTTTAGAGAACAATTCTGTAAATTTTTGGAGAAACTTTAATGGTTGTTTTTCCTTTTACATTTAGAGTAGAATCCATGGATTGTTTTCTGATGCCCATTGCTCCGGTATTCAGTGAAATCAATACTGTTGGTATGTGCAGGAAGAAGACTTGAGAAATTCTTCAGATTTAGTTTCCTTTTATGGTTTGTGCTCGTCTTTGGCTGAAGTGTCTGCTTTTTCAACCAGCAGGGGTCTGTTGCTGTTGCTGTTGTTTGATGTTACCTTTAAAAGAAGATTTTTAAATTTTTTATTTTATTTTATTTTTGTTTTTTTTTTGATACAGAGTTTCTCTGTAGTTTTGGGGCCTATTCTGGAACTAACTCTTGTAGACCAGGCTGGCCTCAAACTCACAGAGATCTGCCTGCCTCTGCTAATGTATGCATCTGTGTCTGTGTGTCTATGTGTGTGTCTGTGTGTGTGTCTGTGTGTGTGTCTCTCTCTCTGTGTTTCGGTATGTGTATCTCTGTGTGTCTGTGTGTATCTCTCTGTGTGCCTCTGTGTCTTTCTCTATGTGTCTGTGTGTGTGTGTCTGTGGGAATCTCTGTGAGTGTCTTTCTGTGTTTATGTCTCTGTGTGTGTCTCTGTGTGTCTCTGTGTATGTCTCTATGTATGTCTCTGTGGGTATCTTTCTGTGTGTCTGTGTGTGTCTCTGTGGATATCTCTGTGTGTGTCTCTCTGTGTGTATGTCTGTGTGTGTGTGTCTCCCTGTGTGTGTTATGCCCTGCATGTTATGTGGCCCATAGAGGCCAAAGAGGGCTAGAAGAAGCTTGTAGCTGCTTGAAACTTCAGGGGTATACACATAATTGAAAAAATAAATCTTAAATAAAAGAAAAACAAAAGGTTACATATGGCTGGGCTGGTAGAGCATTACAGTTGAGCACTTAGATAGCATGCATGAGGTCCTATGTTCAATCTCCAATATAGCTTAAAAAGAAATAAAGAAAAGGGAAAAATTGAGTGACAGAGGAGAAGTGTGTGAGTGTTTGCATATATAAAAAAATAGATCACGATGTAAATATAGGGATCATGGTAATTACATGCAGAAGGTGGGTGGCAAGAGAATTGGTAAGAGAGCTAAATCCCCACTTTTTATAGTAAGAAGTCTATTGACTACACTTCGGCATAAATCAATAAATAGTTAGAAGGATTTGGATACATGGAGTAGACTCCCAGAAGAAATATCTTAAGAGTTGAAAGTGTTGGGGAATGGTATTGCTCAGAGCGAGATTCTCTGATGAAAAAATAAGCGACTGCATGTTTATCGAGAGCAGGGCTTGAGGCCAGCGGTCACAGAGGCGTGGCAAACCGTTTAGTGAACTGTGAGCTCTCTCTCTCTGCCTTTCTTTTCTCTTTCCTTCTTTCTTTGGCACTGAACGCAGGGTCTCTCGTGTTCTAAACAAACATTCTGCCACATCTATCCCCAGCCACAGCTTTTACTTAAAAGAATTTTTATTTTAAAGTTGAGACAGCTTTGGTAATGTGTACCCAAAGCAATGTGCCTCACCCTCTCTGAGGAGTGGATGGGGGAATGGGATAGAGGGGGACAGGTGGAAGCAATGGGAGGAGAGAGGAAGCGGGAACTGGGATTGGTGTGTAAAATGAAAAAAAGATAGTTTGTTTCTTTTCTTTCTTTCTTCCTTTCCTTCCTTCTTTCTTTCTTTTTCTTTTTTTCTTTTTGAAGTTGAGACAGTGTTTCCTAGGCTAACCTTGAATATAGGTTACAGTCAGGTAGGCTGTTAGTACATGGTTCTCTGCCTCCCAAGGAGCAGGGATTACATTCCCGTACCAACAGGCCTGGCTAGGTTTTGCTTTGGCCTGATTTTCCTCCCACTTTCTAGCAGATAGGAGTTTGGTCAGAGCTGAGGATAGGAGCTTCTAGGTATTAAAGGTCCTTTTGTGTTTTGTAAAAGTCTGACTCTAAAGTAAGCCAGGGAGGAGCTTAAACTCTGGAGGGCTGGGGAGGACGACAGACTTCTTTGGACTGTGGAGGAGACTGTCCTGTAGGTCCAGTCACCGTGGACACTGGGCTCCAGTTATTGGAAGCCAGGGAAGTGACTGACAGTCAAATGGCTTCAGGGGTGTGGGGGGACATTCAGATCCAAATTCAGAGGCTCTAGTGTCGGAATTCCCATGTCTCAAATTTGGCATAGATTTGAAGAGGTATAACCTACGGGGACCATAGGAGTCAGTTTTCCCTGGCAATGTCCCACGATGGCATGTTGTGGGGGTTGGTGGATGCAGGCAGGAGGTCTCACACCCGGGCCTCAATTTGAGAGATGGGGTTCCCTGTGAGTGAGAATCTAATGCCAAGTTTTTCGCTAGCATTCCGGTGTAGGGGCTTGGAGTGAGAATGACATTAATTAGATAGACAGTTAATGCTGTGTTCGTGATGTGCACGTCTGAGTTTCTAACTGGGCAGTGGTAGAGCACACCTGTAATCCCAACACTCAGGAGGCAGAGGCAGGTGGATCTCTGTGAGTTTGAGGCCAGAGTGGTCTACAAGAGCTAGTTCCAGGACAGGCTCCAACGCAACACAGAAAAAACCCTGTCTTGAAAAAAAACCATAAAAAAATTAAATAAGCTGGAGCCAAGTTCAGTAGCTGAGAACATTTGAGTTTGTAGGCCAAGGTCACCCCTGACGGCCTTGTCTTCACCAATCCCCAGAGGAGCGAGGGGCAGATGTGGACACTTGGCCCATTTTGTAAGTGGTGTGGCCAACTCAGACTCTGTGCAAAGGGTGTTGCTGTATCCACCACTCACTGCCTAGGTCCCTGCCTTTCTCATTTGTCCCCTGCTTTCTCACACCGCCATGGCTCATCCGTGGTTTTCTTTGCCCTTGCCTGGGGATTGGAGGGTCTGTGCTCTGAGGTAGAGGGAAACCTGGCTATAATCTTCTTGAAGGAAAGATGGATTTATGTTTGAATCCTGGACTTCCCAAGACCAGTCCTGGGAGGCTTATTACTTGGCTTCAAGAGGAGACAGTTGAGAAGATGACTCAGTGGGTAAGAACACTTACTGCAAAACCGAAAGACCTGAGTTCAAATTCCCAAGCACCCATGTAAAAGCCTGGGATTACAAGGTGGAGACAGGTGAATCCTAGCGGAGTCAAGATGTGAACTCCAGGTTCAAACAAGAGAAGGTCTTAAAATAACAAGGTTGAGAGTTAAGGAAGCCACGTGATGTTCTCCTCTGGCCTCTTCATGTTCCTCCGCAAATGCAAATACATAACACATGCACACACACACACACATGCACACACACACACACACACACACACACACACATGCACACACACACACGCACACTAACCTCAGCAGTAAAAGAAATTAGAGGAGCCCGAGGCTGTAGGTCCTAGCCACAGGAGAGAGGAAAAGAAGGAAAGAGGCTTCCCTAGCTGGAAACAAGCTAAGGGGTGCAAGGGACCCACATTGGGATAGGAAGAAATCACAACATGAAGCCACAGAAGAGTCTGAGATGGGAACAGGGGCTGCATTAAGCTGTCAGAAGGGAGTCCTCTGTATCTTTGAAGGGGATCAGAGCTGTGGGGTTCCAAGAAACAGGCTTTTCATTCCTGGAGTAAGTGTGTGGAACAGGATGGGGCAGGGAGGGAGCGAGGGAGGCCTCAAAGGCCTGCAGAGCCATGAAGTGTGTGAGTGAGTGTGAGTGTGTGTGTTCCCCCCATACTCTGGCTCTTCCCATTAGCAGTTTCCTCAGAGACCTTGACCCACCCTGACCATTTGCCTCCCTTTGCCTGTCAAGGATCTGGGCACCCTGGAGACAAAGCAACTATTGCAGTAGGTAGGAACATAGAGTTCACAGTTCTGAGCTCCCAGCTGGGACCCACAAAGTATGACCTCACTCTGAAATAGCATTGACTCCCTGCAAACACAAGCACCCAGGAACAGGTATTCCAGCTGAGGCTTGAGCAGCGTTTTATTCAATTAGGTATAAATCATATTTGCAAGGAAAAAGGTAGGGTGCCGGGGAGAGCAGGTCAGGTCTTGGGACCTGAGTGACCTCCTACAGGGGACAGTCCTGCTGTCTCCTTCTTCATTCCCTGGGAGACTGACTTTCTTCTGACTCTCTGGGTCTGGCCAGGGAAGGCAGCTCAGCCGTACAAGAAAGGGATGACCATGCAGATGGGCTGGTTGAAGCAGGACAAGAGTGTGGCAAGGCCAGCATGAGGAGGCTGCTCAGGGGCTCCTCAGTCCTTTCTGTTTTCTAGCCCCTTTTTTGTCCACGAGGTGGGGGCATGAAGCCATGACGAAGTTCATGGAGAATCTCCTGGGGTCCAGGGTGATCACCAGGCTATGGAGCTCTTGGAGTCTGTGTCGGTCCAGTCCTGGGAGAGCAGAAGAGGGATGTGAGAGACAGGTGGGGAGGCAGCTCTTTGCTTCCCTTCCCACCCCTTCAGCATCCTCACCTTTTGCAGTTTTTGGAGCCCCTTCCTTTCTTTCCAGGCTTAGAGGCTCCTCTGTTCTTCCTGCAACCCAGGCTTTGCTTCTCTGAGGCTGAAAACTGGTCCAGCTGCCTCATCAGCTTCTGCACCCAGACTTCTTCAGGGTTGGCACACAGTTCAGGCTGAGAGCGCTTCCGGGGCAAGAACCTGAGCATTGGAGGGTAGTGAGCTCTGAGTCTGGCCCACCATAGCTCCCCTACTCCACCACCAGCCTGTACCCATCCCTCTCTGTTGCACTCACAGGATGGCTGGGAGGGCGCAGCCTAAGCTCGGTTCTTGCTTCCTGTAGCCTCGGACAATCTTGAAGGGAATCTTCCTCTGGCTGTAACTGAGGCAACAATCCTGACCTCCGCCGTCACTGCCTGCATGGTAGGAGCACAGAATCAGAGGTAGTTCAGAAGGTGTCTCTTTAGCTCCCTTCTCCCAGCCAAAGCCTCTCCCTCCTTGGTACCTTGGGTCCAGGGGATGCAGAGAGCCAGGACCAGGATAAGGAGGCTAAGAGCCAGCGTCTGAGCCATGGTTGTGGTTGAGTTGAGGGTGACAAAGCCGTGGGTGAAATGGACAGCCTCAAGTTGGGGTCTGTGTGTGGGCTGCCACTGGCTTGCTGCTTATTTATGCATTCTGACACTTGGGCTTCCCTCCCTCCCACTCCGTTTCCTGCGAGTGTGTGTGTGTGTGTGTGTGTGTGTGTGTGTGTGGCGGGGAGGTGTTGGTGTGAACTCTAGCATACTGTCAGTCAGCCCCTAACTGCCTGTCTCCTCATCTCTTCCTGGTCCTTCCTCACTGGCCCTGCAGGCTCCACACATTTTCGCTCCTTCCAGCAGCTAACTGTCCAGTTAACAATGAAGAGTTCTTTATGCATCCCTGATAATAGACCTTGATTTAGATGCACGATGTGCAGTTGTGTCCTCTCAACCTACAGGTTTCCTGTTGTTAGTGCACAAAGCCGAAGGGAAAGTTCTGTCAAGTCCAGTTTCCCCCTTCTCCCCTATGGCCTGGGATGCTGGTATCACAATAGCTCGTTTTAAAACAGCATCACCAGCTGCAGCCCCGTGAAGGTTTCCTCGGACTGTTTTTGTTTCTAAGTCTAAATCATGTATTTATGTGTGTCTGTGAGTGGAGTGGTGGGTGAGGGTGCAGAGAACTGAACCCACGTCCTCTGAAAGATCAGTACCTGTTTTTAAGTGCTGAGCCATCTCTCCATCCTTGTGTTTTGTTTTGTTGTTTTAATTGTTTCTTTCACTTTTTGAGATTATAATTACACAATTTCCCCCTTGGGATTCTGATACAGACTGAACCAAATCTGAACAGGGATATCTTTTTATTTATTCAGGCCTGCTTCATGGTTGATTGATTGATTGAGACAGGGTTTCTCCGTAGCTTTGGAGCCTGTCCTGGAACTAGCTTTTGCAGATCAGGCTGGCCTCGAACTCACAGAGATCTGTCTGCCTCTGTCTCCCAATTGCTGGGATTAAAGGGGTGCGCCACCCCCATCTGGCTTCAGGCCTGCTTTAATTAGCAACATTTTGTAATTTTCAAAGCACAAGTCTGATACTTACTTGATTAAATTTCCAAGTATTCTGCTTTATGCAGTTATAAATGTAATTGTTTTCTTAAGTTCCTTTTGGTATTTTGTTTTATTTATTTATTTATTTATTTATTTATTTTGAGATAGCTCTGACTTTATTTAGTCCTGGCTGGCCTGGGACTCATTCTGTAGACTACGCTACCCTTGAACTTAGAGATCTGTATGCTTCCCAAGTGTTGGAGTTAAAGGTGGGCACCGCCACACCTGACTTTAATGGCTTGATCTTTTAAACATTTTTACTGTTTTATTTCAAGTACATGCGTGGTTTTTTTTACTATATGTATCTGTGCACATGTGTGTGTAATACTCATAGAAGCCAGAGGAGGATGTCAGATCACTTGGAACTGGAGTCACAGATGTCTGTGAGCCACGTATATGTTTTGATAAATGAACCTGAATCTTATGGAAGAGCAGCCAATGCTATTATTATTATTATTATTATTATTATTATTATTATTATTATTATTTAAACAGGGTCACTCTTTATACCTGTGGCTAGCCTGGAACTAAATCTGTAGACCAGGCTGGCTTTGAATTCGCAGAGACCCACCTGCCTCTGCCTGAGTGCCGGGATTAAAGGCCTGCGCCACCACGCCCAGCTTTTATTTTATTATCTTCTTTCTGATCTCTCTCTCACTGATCTCTGCCTTTACAGGCATCATTTCCTTCTTTGTACAGATTTGGATTTAGTTTGCTTCACTTCTTTTGTCTTTTAGAAAGAGCTGGCAGCTAAGACAGACGCTGGCTGGCACCAACATCTCTGCTGGCGTCTCACTGAAGAGCTCGGATCAGCCTTGCTCTTGTTCTGTGATACAGACAGACCTTGAACTCGGATCATCCTCTTCTGCCTCCTAAATGGCGGATTAGGGGTGTGAGGTGCTATCTCTGGCCGTTCTCAGCATTTTCACACACTGCTTTCTGAGCTTCCTGTCCCCAAGGCAGTATGGCTTCCAGGTTTCCTTGACTTCTTTGTCCCAGAGATCCCTGCGACCATCTGAAGGGAGTTAAGTAACAATAATGTAAGCATCTTTTTAGTGTCCCCAATGTTCTTAGTGACGGTTTCATTTTCAGTGTTTTCCCTGTGAGTGAGCTATACTTTGCCGCTTCTTTCAATCTTTTGTAACTTTTTGGTGACTGCTGGAGATGTAGACCATTATTGAGGGACCGTTGGACA